AAAAAAAAAAAAAAAATTAATTTTTTCAAAATGATAAACCACTTCGTGTCGAAACACGAGTGTCCGAACACATGGACACGAGTCGCTTTCATAGTGTGACACTCCGGCGTGCCCGCCAACTTCGGTTACACTCGACTTCTTTCGAAATCCCAAACACACGGACATGGATAACTTTCATTGTGTGCAATCCCAGTGGCACAGGGAGAGGGTAAGATTTACCCACGATCTGGCAGCACAGACCTACATATAGAATTGAGCCTGCGAGACTGCATACTACAAAGCGTGGACATATATTACTTCGATATTCGAAATGTTTGTAGGTAGGAGCGATAGAAGGGTAGAAGAATAAACAGAGATAAGCACGTAGGTACGCGATAAAAGTATAAGGTCCAAACGAACCAACGGTCGAAATAAAGAAATAAGGTGTAAAATCTGTCTTTGTAAGTTGTATAAGTGAGTATTTTTCAATTTCTATTTAAAAATGTTTCTATATTATTAAAAAATTTATATTAAATTCCTTATTTCGCAAATATTATCATTATTAATTATGAAATTTATAGAAAATAATAATTGTACTGTCTGCAATATTTTACAAAAAAAAAAAATGATTACAAGATTCAAAAGAGAAAAATAATTAGACAACATTGTACAATACATTAGAAGCAGCTGACAAACTCCATTCAAAAGCAAGTAAATTACTGTCACATTTTTATTTTCCTTCTTCATTAAATATATTCGATTTATTAAGATTAAAATATGTCTATTGAATTTGATTTTTATATGTTTTTATGAAAAATATCCAAAGAGATGTACTTACCCATGCATATATGAAAATTATATTATAAATTGTGATATTTGCGTATTTAAGAAACATATACTAATTTTTCAATAAAATAAAAACATTTTTAAGATATTGAACGCCCAGCGTGAATCGGTGGAGCTTACCACGGGGCCTAAATTTGAGACTCGTAGTGTACACAGTTCGATAAGCTTAGAGAGCGATACGATTCAATGCATTTTTTAGATCTTTCGTTGTTCAGATCTTTATTTAAACGAGAGTATTTAGAAAGATAAGTTTGTGGTCCAAGGAATAAAGACGATATATGTTATAAATAATAAGGGTCTCGATGTGTGGCAGGCTATAGAGTTGAAAAAACATTTCTAGAGAATATCTTTATTAGATCTTTCATTGAATTTTACCAGAACCTTCGTTCAGTCCAGCAGTATTTTCCATATGTTTTTCGTAACGTCTTTATTTCGCCTATCCTAAAATGTTTGTTAGACAGCGCATAAATGTAGATAAAAACGTGAAATTGAAAATCATCCTAACAAATAAAATTTTATACCTGAGTTTCGCAAAAAGGATATTCTATATTTACTTGTTTTACAACGAATTATATTTCCTTTGATAAACATCCTACGATTGTTGTGTCTATCAATAACTATCGCATTCAGTATTCCATTTTTATTGCTTGAATTTGGAAAAGTGTACTTTTTATCAGCTATTCCACCCAGAGACCATACCGGTTACTTTGCTATATATGGTAATAATATTATAATAAATAAATCCTATGATTATCTTACTCTTGAAATTGTGCATTCGTCTGATTCTCTCGAAACTTAGTTTTTTGAAGGTTTCACTTCTAACGCGTGTGATCTGCACACATGTTTTTTTTTATATATATTATACTTTATTTTCAGAACTAAAGTGGTTCACTTGAAATTATCAAATGGTTCATTCAGTAACCCGCTGGTCGCAAGTTGCCAACCCCTGTTATTATAGTATAACTTTTAAACTAACAATTAGTAAGGTATTTCGATGTTATTACGTCGAATTATTTTTCTAGATCGAGCAATCAATGGTATTCGAAACGGAAATGTCGGTGATGGAGAACCTTTTGAGAAAAATGAACGAACTAGTCGGACCAGCTCATATTCTAGGAGCACAGGTTTTCTACATTAAAAAAGAATATCCAGGATTTTTGGTTTTAGAGGATCTAGCTCCACTTGGATTTCGCATGGCTGAACGTGAAGATGGCCTTGACCTTCCTCACTGCTTGTGTGCGATGCGAGGATTAGCTAGATTTCATGCAAGTAGCTTGGCCATATGCGAAAAGGTAATAAAATATTCTATGGAAAAAAAGAAATTTTTCACCTAGTAGAAAAAAAATGGAACGTGTTTATTTTTTTCATTTTGATAATTATACATATAATACCAAAATAGGAGTGTTTTCAAACAAAATGATCAAGAATAGCACGTTGTGTTGTTCTGAAAAGAATTTATTTCTATATCAATTTCATTTTCCTATTTACAATATTTACAAAACGAACAATTTAATATTACCTGAAAAGAAAAACGACAATTATGTCTGTTCCTCACTTTTCACACTCACTTTCTTAATCTGTTAAATCTATCTATCTTCTTTAAATATTCAATCTGATTTGTATACGTAACGTCTTTTCTTTCCTTTATCTCTCTTATTTATATTGTATATCCAATCTGATCTATATGGGGCTTGCACGCCAAATCGAACGGTTTTAAAAAATTTTATTTTTGATTTCCGCCATTTTTTGATATCTTTTATTACCCATCAAAAAACCCTTCCTCCTAAATTTTGGCTTTTTTTTTATCATCCGTTCCAAAGATATCCAATTTTCTAAAGGAACAGCTTTTTCTGTGGTTTTCAGCCCGTAATTTTCTTAAAACTCATCCAAATGAAAATTACCATTCTACATAAAAGTTTTGTTTTTCAATGTACTTAGATATATAGATATATATAGATATTTTATATAGATATAAAATCAATATGACTATTAATGAGAAAAAAGGGTAACAGTAAAAGGAAATAGTCAGTAGTGCCACTACGCGAAAAAATCATGAAGTGATTTTTTAAATTAGAAGTAAGTTTTTTTAATGCTTTTATCCAAATAAAAAAGCTATTTCATTACAAAAAATTGTATTGGATAATAGACTGCCAAAATTTCTCAAAAAATCACGAAAATAAATCAAGACTTTTCTTATTTTTGTTAATTATTAATCTAAATCAGTAATTAAGACTTTTCTACGCTTGTTATAATAAAAAAAATATGAAAAGTGATTCAAAATACATTAAAAGAGAGAAATAAATGACAAAATTTAATAAAATAAAAAAATAAAATTTTATTTTAATTTTCAAAAATCGAAAAAAAAACAGTAGTTATCGAAGGCCCACGACCAGACCCGGCCTATAAAGTTGTGGAATTAGTAATAGTTTGCTGTAAACAATTTTGAAGAAAATCAAAATACGCACTTACTTTAAAAAATGCAATTTAAAATTTAAAAATCGAAAATTACGTATTAAGACACTTTAAATAATTTTTTTGAACTTTTTTTCGAAAAGTACATTGAAAAACAAAACTTTTATGTAGAATGGTAATTTTCATTTGGATGAGTTTTAAAAAAGTTATGAGCTAAAAACCACAGAAAGAGCTGTTTTCTTTTTAAAATTCAATATCTTTGGAACGGATAATCAAAAAAATGCCAAAATTTAGGAGGAAGGGTTTTTCCATGGATACTAAAAGATATCAAAAAATGGCGGAAATCAAAAATAAAAATTTTTAAAACCGTCCGATTTGGCGTGGAATGCCAGAATCCCTGGACGGACTTGGACCGGGACTCGAACCCGGATCTTCAACTTTTCGGGCGACTGCCCTTATCCATTGAGCTATCCAGGACCCACTGACCAATCCTTCTCCACGAATTACTAATAAGTTTCACATGGAGGCGTTCAACCCACAATTGTATTGTTAAAATTAACATAAAACATTAGTAGAGTGTTTACTTATGCTCTTCGTGTGGTAGTGTTTTAAAATATTCGTGATGTATAGGAAGTATATAGAGTAATAACTGCTCCATATCCTTATATTTTTCAAAAGTAATAGGCCTGTAATCATGATACAAAGGCTCCAATTTTTCAATTCTTTCTCGTCCATCGATGTTTTATATAAAATACGTATGGTGCACTTTTAAGAAATCTCGTCTAACGTATTTCCAACCAGTTTACTTTTCTCCTTTAGCGTTTATTTCCATCTTTTTATTTTAATTGCTCTTTGTAGATATTTTGTCAAAACAAAATCCTTTTTTCATTTCATGTAAAAATAATTTATTATGTTATCTACAATGTTTTATATTATCATAATAATCATGTAGTGTATACATAAAATTCATTTTTCTATCTTTTTTCCTTTTTTTTTCTATGAAAATTGGACTTACACAATTATCATAATTAATGGTTGCACAATTTGTTTTAGCAGCTAATTTTAAATTGAACAAATAATAGGCATTTTTTAAGAAATTGAATACTAATCAGTTATAAATAAAAAGTTTATACTAAATTTATCTCATCTTTGAAAAAACTTGACTTATTAGACCACTTTCAAAATAAACAAAGTAATCTTATGACAGACAGAACAAAAGTCCAATATACTCCACAAACAAAGTAAAATTTTGGTAAAGTTCGTTTGTAAATCTTCGGGATTACCTGATACTAATCTTAAGCTGCAAATTTTATACCCACGAATTCGGTTGCTGGAAACTCGCGTGGCTCGAAATAAAAAGTATACACGCGAAATATCTGCCTGGAGGATAACTAAAGTTCAATATCTCTTATAACCCTTTTTATCGTTGGATGTGTTTCAATATTACACAGGACTTTTTCTTAGAAATATTTAAAAAGGCTTTTACGCGTGAATTTAGGCGTATAAGGACATGACATAACAATAATTATTTCGTAAATCATGTATTTTAAATTTAATATGTATATCAATAATAATTAAAAGATACAATATGTTTTTAGGAACCCAGTCAGAAAACGCTTTACTCCAAAGGAATATTCTACATTGAAAGATCTTCCGACTTAACAAGCTTCTTTACTCTTGGAACAAAATCGTTAGCCGGACAAGTAAAAAAATGGCCTAATTTTGAGAAGTGAGTTCTATAAATATATTAGTGTAGAAAAACTTTTAATCTAATAAATAATCGAAATAATTTTATTGTTGGTCAAATAAACTTAAATTATTTCGTATATAGGAAGCATAACTAGATTTTATATTAAATCTATATAAGACTTGGTATATCAATAGTACTCCTTTAATATGTTGCCGCATTGAAATATTAAAACAGAGGAAAAAACCTTCAAAGTTTTTCTGTGTTTACACATGTATACGCACTTGTAAATTCATTAACACGATATTTACGGAACCCGTCAAGGTGACGGGTTTTCGATTTAATGCTCAAAAATTCTAAACATGTAAGCATTATTATTTAAATGATACACATATTGGTTTTTAATTATATAATTTAGTGAATATAATATATCATCATCATCAAACTTTCATGTGTACTGATTTTTGTCTCTGAATATCTTTTGAACGCTTAATTTAATCGCCAAAACATAAGACACCATTTTTATAGAGCAGTTAATTTTCTACAAAAATTTGTATTGTGCACTTTTTAATAGTCATTTATTGTCAAGTTATAAAATTCAGAAACAAAAATGAAATTTGTCTTAAAATAATCAAATTTAAATCTTCAATATCATTCAAATGGTGAGATTTACAGAAAACATATAAGATAACTTTTTTGTAAAGCATTAAATTTCCTACAAAATTCTTCCAGAACATTTTTCTGTACAATCAATTAATGATGAGGTATGAATTTTAATCTATTAGACTGAGAAAAAAATAAAAAACTGCGATGCGGAGGATCTTTCTATTAAAATTAAGAGCTCATATTTGATGAGAATTTTTTTAAGGTGTCTAGCAACCCATTTTTCCGTGGCACTTGTAAAAAAAAAATAATTGATTTTATATATATATAAAATTAACTTTTAATGGTAATTCGAGTATTACATTAACCCTTTGACTGCTGAATGCTTTAAGTTAAAAGGATTAATAAATAATTATTTTATAGTTAACATAAAATTATTAGTATATAATTTGATAATATTTGTAAATGTTGATTTATTTACAGTTCAATTTAATATTTTACTACGAATACACCTTAAAGGTATGCTACTGATATACCAAGTCTAATATCTATCTAAAGTTAACATCTAGTAGTGCTTTCTTGATAATCTACAAAATTCATGGGTAAAAAAAAGCTCCAAACTTCTCTACCAATCCTCGTATGTATAATAAATTATACATGTAACTAATTAGATTTAATGGATTCGTAGATATGGAGAGAAAATTGATAAAATATCGGATAAAATCTTTTATGAGACTAGCAAGGCAATAAAATGCCGAGATGACGAATTTAATGTTATAAATCATGGTGACTTCTGGGTGAACAATATGATGTTTCGTTACAACGATGAAGGAAAACCGATCAATCATATCTTTGTGAGTATAATGATACCATTTTTATTCGTCGTTCCACATTTTTTTTTATCATTATTGGAATATATTTGAAAGATCGTCGTGGTTTCTCGAGGGAAAATGTACAAAGTTAAAACAACTACCGATGAAAGCTTAGTTTCTTAACGGCAAAAGATTTAAAATATTTTTTAATGTGATAATTGATTCGCAACATAGATAGACAATCGATTAATCAGTTTGTAGGATTTAATAACGAGGGAAAAAAAAGCTGAGAAGAATTTCTTATAGGACTTTAGAGGTACATAAATATGCAGTTTGAAAAATACCAACGTTCGAGTTCAATCAAATCTAATTTTTTTTTTCTATACAGGCTATCTAGTTTAAAAACTCTTCAGCCTTTAAATTAGGACAAAAAAGTTTGCCATTGAGCGAAAGAAAAGCTATGTGGAAGTATGGTTTTTTTATCTTCTACGTCCGAAAAAAAAACAATTCAACAGTATCGAAAGATGAGATATTCAGAAAATCGTGATCGTCGTTTTTAAGTAACAAGATAACAAAATCATTTTAGAAAAATTATAAGTGATTTTATTTTTCGGAGAAAAAAAACAAATCAAAATTTTATTGTATAATTATCATAAAAAAAATCTTGGAATAGATTTTAGGGTAAATTTTTATCAATGATAGTGATACATGACGACTAACGTAGATCTACTTCTATCAAAAGAAGTTCAAATGCTTTGTTTTTTTTTTTTTTTTAATTATTAGGTGTTTTAAGAAAAGAAAAAAATTTTTACATTTTTATATATGAGCCGTTTATTGAAAGTGACCCAAGTCCATTTATGTTCGAATTGAGATGTTCAAGGTTTTGCGTTGGATTAAATTTAAAAAAAAAAGATAACAGATATGACAGAGTAAAATAATGTTCTCCGGTTTCTAAAGGTGTCACATTTATCATACCAATTACCATACTTAACATTATTTAAAAAATAATATGTTTTTGATGGATATGTTTGGACTTTCAAAGGCCACTTCAAAATCTATGAAATGACGTTTTCAATTCCTAAGAAAGCACAAGTCCATAGGGAAAGTAAGTTTTCCTTAAATTTAAGATAAATGTCGCTTATAAAAATTACCTTATAAAATCAAAAACATATTCAATTTTTATTCTTTGTGTACCCTGTTTGTAAGAAAAGAAAAAAAATTTTAAAGGAATCATTTATCATACTAAAGTTAAATAAAATATGTTCAAGCAAGCCTAGCTCTGTTTTTTTGTAGCGCATACTTTTGTGTAAAATTCATTTATTTTCTTTAAGATTTTTTCAAGAGATGTTATATAAATATATAAAATATCATATATGTGGGACGAACGCCTCCATGCCAAACTTGTTAAGCATTCGTGGAAGGGAACTGGTCGGTGGGCCCTGGATACCTCAATTGGTAAAAGAACAGTCGCCCAAAAAGCGAAAGATCCGTGGTTCGAGTCCAGCGGTCCAGTTTTTTTTCACGAATCTTACACATTAGCCCAGTCACAATAGCCCTGAAATCAGGTTTTTGAGCTATACGGCTAAAAAAATATAGAAATTATCAGAAAAATGCGTACAAAACTGTGGGCAAAGTATAAAAGTTCTCAACCACAGGGAAAGGGGTGAAAAAAATTAAAAATTACCCCAAAATACGATTTTTGGATTATATGTTAAAAATATCAAAAAAAATTTCAAATAAAAGTTGTAGAGCATAAAATTTTAGGCCTATCTCTCTCAGACCATTTTTTCCCTAAAACGAACCCTCTCACCCCTACGACGGTTCAAAGTACTAAAAAAATGAAAATTCAGTAAAAAATATAAAAATTAGACTTTTTTAATTTTTTGTTTTTTAATTATCTTTAAAAAACTACAAAAGACAATCGTAGAGAAAAAAATTATTTTTTTTTCATCCCTTCTATTAAAAATCAAGGGGTGAAAACGGTTTTTGCTCGATACTTCGCTTAAAACGGGTTATTTAAAAAAATTTTCTTTTTCATATGAATTTTTAATTCATTTTTTAAATTTTGGTGTTGGATTTATATTTATAGATATTTACCTGCAGGAAATATCTCAATTTAAAGACAGGTAATTAGTGCCTTAGTCCTACGCCTTTGTAGAAAGAAACAGAAAATGAAGCTATCTAGCTCTTACTCATTGTGACATAAGTCGCCATGGCACGCATGCGCAAACTCTAGCTTACATGCGTGCAAGAGAGATAGACAATGTATTGTTGGCTTCGTCTCAATG